TAATATAATATATATTAATTATTTTCATCAATGCCACCTCACCTACCACATCATATCACTCCACTACACCACCTTTCCTCCACCTCTCCATCGGAGACGGCCATCAGCTCCGACAACTGCTCTAGCGACTTCACCGGCTACTGCTCCGATGACGACTTTTTCGGCGATCACTCTGGCAATTTCAAGATTTTCAGAAAATTAAAAATTAAAAATCACCCTCCCACTCCCATGGATCTACCTACCACCACCCCACCCCTGCCTCTACCTCAAAAAAATTACTAGAAAAATTTCAAGTCACCTTATGGAAGCTCACAGTTTGTAGTATATTTTGTAATGAAAGTGAAATGGAGATCATTAGTTAAGGAAATAAAGAGAGGTTTTGAAATTAAAAATTGGAAATCACACCCTCACCCTATTGATCCACCTACCACCACCTCCTAAAAAAATTACCAAAAAAATTTCAAATCACTTTATATAATTAAGCCGTTGACAGGTCTCATATGTGACTAATTGTGACCAAGTGTGCATTCAAAATGTGATTGTCTGTGACCAAATTTGTGTTAAGTGTGACCGAATGTGACTTGAATATGATCAAGTCACAATCTGTCACAATTAACACAAATTTGGTCACAACCAATCACAGTACACACACATTTGGTCACAAATGGTCACCACAAATGGCCTAGGCTCAACCTGCCAAAGCAATTAACATCCTCACCATTCTCAATGAATAATTTTAAAGATAAAACCGTAAGAAATAAAATAAAATATATGATACACCAAATCAATTATGTGATCAGATTTCTTCCTGTCATTAGAATGATCTTTGAAAGGGAAATATCAACAAGTGCTGCAAACCAGTAATCTACTGCATAAGAAATGAATTCAAGTATGTATAAAATGGTGCGAAATAGCAGCTAGATGAACTCGCATTGAGAAATTGTAGATTTCTGCCTTTCATATGGTAGCAATTATCTCCTTCAATTTCATCACAGTTTTTCCCCTGCCAATTTTAGATTCCACTCTCTGACGATGGCTTCTTCGTCGACGGCTTTTTTTATTTTTCCAAAAACAAGAGTACTTCATTTCATTAACTACCACATGAACATCACCACAGATAGGGCAAAAACTATACATCTAAAAGACAAAATAATTCAACCAGTTTGAACCAAATAACCCCATTTTGCATTCAAAACTAAAGCCCTAAACTTCTTGTAAAGCAGACCCAATTTCACCCTTCCCACCAGTCTTCTTCGGCATAAGTGTTTGATGAATATTGGGCAGAACACCACCATTTGCAATTGTCACCGAACCCAACATCTTGCTCAACTCCTCGTCATTCTTCACTGCCAACTGGATGTGCCTTGGAATAATCTGATTCTTCTTGTTATCTCTTGCAGCATTCCTAGTAAGCTCCAATAACTCCGCAGCGAGGTATTCAAGAACAGTAGAGAGGTAAACAGGTGAACCGGATCTGACTCGTTCTGCATAATGACCTTTTTTTTAGGAAACGGGCGACACGGTCGACAGGGAATTGGAGACCGACCTTAGAAGATCTTGATACAGCCTTCGATCTGGGATTCCCACGGCCGCTAATTGATTTGGTTGCAGTTGTATCGCCACCCATAGTGATCTGGTAGAGTTAACTTCTGTTAGATTTTTTAAGTAATTGAATTGAACAAATCTTGACAGAGAAGGGAATTCACGACACTGCTTGTAGTTATATTGTCGACGGCTTCTTGCGACAGCCTTTTCGACGCCTTGTTGTGTCGCTGCTAGCGGCGGAGCAGAGCCGCCACATGTAGCGGTGCCGGAAGTGGTGGTAGACACTGGGAGAGGAGTGGGTGGTAGAGAGAGAGAAAGAGAAGGAAGAGAATGAATCGGGTTGAGGATTGCTTCGCCACGAGCAGCGGTGCCGGAAAGGTATGGTAGAGATTGGGGGTTGGGTGGGTGGTAGAGAGAGAATGAGAGCGAGAGAAGGAAGAGAATGAATCGGGTTTGGGAATGAATGATTGATTAATTTTTTATTAATTATCAGTAATAATTCTATTTACCTGATTTGTGTAAATAAAACTTAATCCCCTATTTTTTGCAATGTAATATTTAAATGTTGGTTTTGAGGTAATTTTGCCTTGTATAAACCCTCGTTTTCTTTCCATTGCATTACATTGTCCAATGCTAGCTCTTCGAAATTTCACTTCCCGAACCCGAAATGTAGTATCAATTTTCAATGCATTTACAACCCAAAACCCTAATCCTGAACAATCCCCAATTCCGTCCTGTACCCGCTATGACGATCTCATCAACGCCGCCGGCCGGGAAAGAGACTTCGCCACCGTGCGTTACCTCCTCAACAAGCGTTCAAGGGATGGCTTTTTCAACACAGTCAACACCTTCAAGTTCATCTCAACTGATCTCTCTTTACTCGACGAGCTCTCGAAGCATATCGCCAGGCTCAATGGTTTCGCCAGAAAGAGCTCGTACAATTCCCTGGTAGCTCAACTTGCGAAGATGCACCGGATTCCCGATGCCCTACGTGTGGCGGAGATGATGTCGACGAATGACTACGGTGCCACCGCGAGTACGTTTCACCCCATACTTAACGCGTTGTCAAGGAAGAAGGAGATGGCCAAGGCGTGGCGAGTGTTGGAGGCGATGAGAGCGTGCGGAATCCAGCCCGATGTGACGGCGTTCAACCACATTCTAACGGCGTTTTGTTACATCGGGGATTTGAAATCAGCCGCTAACGTGTTGGAGAGCATGGAAGAAGAAGGGGTGGCAGCCGATTCAAGGACTTACGATGCTCTGGTTTTGGGCGCGTGTAAGGCGGGGAGATTGGACGGCGCAATCTCTGTTCTGCGGCGGATGATGGATGATGAACTGCCGGCGTTGTATTGCACCTATGGGCACGTTATAAAAGGGATGGTGCGGTCTGGGTATAATGCGCATGCGGTGGAGTTTGTGAGGAGCTTTGCTGGGAAGGACCCAAAATTGGATGCTGAAAATTTTGGGATTTTGGCTACACATTTGATTAGTATGAATAAAATTGAGGAGGCTTATGATGCAGTAAAGGAAATGGAGAACAGGGGTTTGAAAATGGGTTATCAATTGAAGGATTTCTATGAATTGAATTAAGTTTTGTTGATAAGAAAGGAAAAAAAAAGTTTATTTTACCGTATTGCTGATAATTTCCAAGTGTCTTGTCAAAACACAGCGGATTGTAGTTTTAGAAGCGGAAGCAGATTAATGCCATAAGCATAA